ATGGTGGCTAGTTTGGCCGCAGTCTGGCACACAGAACAGTTAGAAGCTGCCTTGCTGCAATGTGGAGTTACTCTGGACAGGATTTGGAAGGTTAGTAATATTATAGAACTGCCTCTTTCTTGAACTTGCAGACCTTGCCTCCCTTCCATCTGTTTATTTTTTCTCACCAGGTAGTTCTGTCTACCTGGACAATGTCTAGCAGGCAGCTGCTAAGATGCCACCATGCTGAGCTCTTCTCTGAGCAGTTGATCTTTGTCTGGAAAGAACTTCCCCATACTATACCTCTTGGGAGTCAGCAATGGCAGAGCATCCTGAGGGGAAAATGTGCTGTCTGGCCATGTGCTCAGATGGGATGCTGCTGGATCAATATCTGGGAGAAAGTGAGGCACAGGCTATCTGTGGTGTGGTCACAAAGACCCCAGACAGTCCCATCAGGCGCTTAGGAACTGGGATGTGATCCTGATAAGCTTCCCAAATTCTAACAAGGATAGGCCAACATAGGTTAGAAAGAGGTCTCATTGGTGCATTAGGAGAGAGAAATGGTGGAAGATTTACTCTCAGGACTCAGTGAATGAGTTGTAGTAGCAGGCACACATATATCTGGGGCACCTGATAATATTCTCTGCTAATTGCTGTGATCTGGCTCTAGGAAAATACCTAACTTGACACTGAAATCTCTGCTGGGGCTTGCTACAAATCCTAAATCCCATTCAGCACCACAACCACAGCAGGTATGACAAGGGACTCCCAGGCTCTGCCTTTCTCTACTTCCCAGCGATGGTCCTTCCATCCAAATTGCCTCTCAATTATATGTGACATAAACTTTCAAGTCCCTGGTTCCCTGTTTAATAGTCAGACAAATAATGGTCTTAATTGCTTGTGAAAGACCTATAAGATTTTAGGAGGAAAAGCTGATGAAATGAGCAAAGTATAAAGCCGTCCTGGCTTGCCCTGTCAGAATAAGGAGTCCCACTGGGTTGTAGCAGATGATCCCTGATTTGGTCTTCACCTTTCTTACTTTTTCATTTCCTTGGTTGTAGCTGTGGGGGTGACCGAGCAGAGAATACCACTCAGTGTGCTGTTTTTGGTCTGAAACTATCTTATTGCTTTGTGGAAAAAAATTACAGGAAGCATTTTTATTTAGATATTGATATCTATTTGTCAGAAAAAACTACAGTCATTCATAGAGGGTTTCGACAGGTCAATTTTATAGAGAGAATCAACCACCTAGAATCTGGGCCTCCTTATTTTCAGATGTTTGGCTTTGCTCAGGATTCACAAAATGAACCCTGGAATCTCTGGCCATCTTCTCCTTGCCCCCTCCTAACCTCTAGTTCTGCTTTAGAGAAAATATTTCCATTCTCTTTTGATCACTGTAATCCCTCATTCTCCAATTTATTTCATTTGTAAATGGGATCTGGGCTGATTTTATTATTCTGCATTATTAAGCGTCGTATGTTTCCAGATGGTCTGCAGAGTCCGTCTGAGCTGAGAATGTGTCGCCGGGCCTCTGTTAATCTATCACAGGGGGCACATGTTCTGCAGGCTTCCCACTCAATAACTGGTCTGTGTTTTTCCAAATGGATTTACATTTTTATGTGCGACTGATGACTTCTCTAGAGACACATACCATGAACGTCTGGCTGTTATTACATGTACAAGTCATAAAGCTATGTAATAAGACTCATAAAAACATACAAATAGTCTTTTTCCAGAAAGGAAAGAAACATGATCAACCCTAAAATCAGGAGCTTGGAAGAGCTTGTTGCTCTACTGAGAAATCACAAGACATGTCCTTTGGGATGTCCAGTCATAAACAAACAAACAAACAAACAAAAAAGCCAGCCTGACAACTCTAGATTTTGTGTGGCAGGGGGAATCACCCCTGGTGGTCCAGAGATGTTTCCTTCACTGTCTTGTTCATGACGTCAAAGCCCCATCATTCATGCTGTTCACCTCTGGGAACCTGAGTATGAGACCCACCTCTGTGTCCCTTTGCCACTTAGAATCATAACTTTACTCCCTGTGGTGATTTGAATGTGAAAAGTCCCTGTAGGCTCAAGTATTTGAACCCTTGATCCCAGTTGGGGGAGGTCCTGGAGTCTTTAGGAGGTGTGGCCTTGCTGGACGAAATATACTACTGGGGATAAGCTTTAATACTTCATAGTTTCTCCCGACTGCGAGTTTGCTCTCTCTGTTTCATGCTTGTGATTGAAGATGTAACCTTTCAGCTTTTGGCTCCTGCTACCCTATCTACAACTTGATGCCCTAACATCCCCACCATTATGAACTCTCCCTCTAGAATCATAAACCAAAATAAATTCTTTCTTCCATGAGTCCTGTTCGGTTATGGTGTTTCACCACAGCAACAGAAAAGAAACTAAAAAACTCCCACAATCTACATGGTCCCACCCCACTGAAACCCTCAGATGAACCCAACTTTCATCTCTTGATTTTATTTGTAGCTGGTACTTTTTCTTCTCTGGGGGAAGAAATTTATGACTTCAATTTCTCAGAAAGATTTCAAGCTCCCTAAGAAGACATACTTAGCCTCTACAGTACCCAATCTCCATGCCCTGCACATTCCACAGCTCCTCCAACAGACACTCATCAGTAGGCTCTCAGTTAAAGCTGCACACATATGCTCAAGCCTGTTCACCAACAGATCCTCAGTATCCATGCATACTCACCTCCAGCCCAGGTTTCATCCTGAAACCATGATGATTTATTTTTCATCTAAGCATGATCATGCCACTCCTCAGCTTTAATCCATCTCAGCTCTGTGCTCCAGTTTCTCTCCATTCCCATGTGCCAGCCTTCCTTCAGCTATGGGTATTTCAGTCAGGCTTTACTGATGTCCAAAATTTGGGTTCTTGTCTTTGAATATTTGACATATCTTAATATTTTACTCTCAATGTTACTCCTTCCTGGAGATCTTCCTTAATCCTTTCAATCACTTTAAACTCTTATTTCACTCCCATAACACCTGATACCTCTCCTTTGTAGTATTCTCCACAGTTTTAATTCATATAATTATTTGATTTTTTTTTTTTCTATCAGTCTCTGGAAACATAGAACTAAGGTCTTCTGCCCCTTAGGAAGAATAATGATGGAGTAATGATAGAGACTATCGTTCATTAATCATTGCAGTCTAGAGCACAAATTCTAAAGCACTAGAAGCCCTCTGCAAGTGTTTTAAACAAGTAGGTGAATAAATTAGGATAGGTATGTTTTCAATTGCTCCAGGATCTACATCTTTTAGAATGTTAACCATAGGGAGTTCTGAGTCCCAGCATTGTCCAGAGACATGCAGACCACTCTCTGAGTCTGCTTCCAGCAACTTCCCTCAACCACATAATTGAACCACAACAAAACCAAACTCCCTGTACTGGGGAACAGCAATGGGCCTGTGACATGCTTGACATTGCTCAGGGACTGTCCCTCCTGAGATGTGCTCTCCCCTGGGTTTTGATGCTGCCCTGCTTCTCTGGATTCCTTCTTTCCTTTTGTCCTTCTGCCCTCGTCACAGGTTTCTTCAGTCTGATTGGCCTACAGCTGTTCTGGAAGTGCTCATAGCCTATTCTGACATCTGTTCTTAGAGCTTTTTATCACTTTGTGTCTGAGGCTGAAATATCCGGCTATTTCCTGAGCATTGGCTTTACCGCACACACCTCAGTTCATGTGAACGTGAACTTTTTCCCCTCATTATTCTTCACTCCCAAACAAAACAAGACAAAACATAAAACACCTCTCTTCTCCCTGGATTCCCCCACTCAAGACACCAGCTTGGCTTCTTTGTCAGATGACTAAGTCACCATCCCTGATGGTATCATAATCCTACAACTTATCAGTCACCAAGTCCTTTTACTCAGACCTCCCAAACATTTCTCACTCTGCCCAGTCCCTGCTTTTTCCAGTGCCTTGATTCATTTCAGTGTAAATATCCATTATTTGAACAAGTGTTAACAGCCTCCCACCCTGTCACCAGCCCCTTAAAATTTCTTTAACTACAAACAAAGTCCCAATCACAGCCTGTGTATTTATAAAATAAAAGTGTGATCGTACCTCTTCCCCACCTAACCCAGCAATGACTCTATATTGCTTTCCCCATCAAACCCAACAGCTCAGGGTAGACTTCTCTTGCCACTTTTTCCCATTACACTATATTGGACAGGCCCAGACCCATGTCTGTCCTTGACCTTGTCTCTGGCTTCCCTGAGCTTTAGTATACATTCCTGCTGCTTCCTGCCCATTCCTATGCCATCTTCATATCTCACACAGACACTGCATTCTTCACAAAAGTTCCCTAATTCTACCCGGATGTGGGAGTTATTCCTCCTCATCTCTTTCAGAACATACAGCTGTGTCCTTATCTTCAGACTAGTCTGGGGTTACTCACTGCTTTAATCTTAGTGTGATCTGTTTCCACCTACTTTGCCGAAAATTATTAAGATTCCATGTTACTCTGAGCTTTCACTATAGGCTTGATCTCCTTGCCCAGAAATCTACAATATTAAGCTCATCAAGATTTAAAAAAAAAAAAAAAAAAAAAAA